TACAGACCAGCCGCTCACTGGCTGAGCGAGGTGTGGGCGCAACACTGAGGGTTGCGATCCGTTGCTGATCACAAAAAAAAAAGAGTGAAGAAATTCTAGCCTAGTTCTGGCCAAAAGATGTTCGGGGACTAGTGCTTACATATTTTTTATCTTCTAATCAATATGGCTCACATAAAGATTTTTAAATACCATGAGACAATCACCATAACATAAATGTGTCCCAGAACAAAGTCACAGAAGAAAAGGGGTAATAATAATAGGAAAGGCAAGAAGTTCAAATATCACTTCAGAGATTTCATGCATCATAAAAATTTCCTAGATCATCACATCCCAAATCACCATGACAAATGTATTGGTGAGAAAAATCCACATGGTAAAAAAGAAAGTCCTCCTGTGTTAAAACTGGTAACTTCTTAGAAACATTGCATTGGAGTGTCTCTCATTTGAAGCAAAACTTATTATATGCAAACATTCACAAGCATTCAACCAAACACATGGGGAGAGGGGTGACCACTGTATTCCCAAAGAATCCTTATCTTTGAGGGTTATCCAGATCCCTTTCAAATCTGTATTCCATATTTGCATCAATATGTTTATCAGTGGTTCACGAACTGGCAGGAGGGAGGGAAAGCAGACCTTAGAGAAAGAAACATGCCTGACTGTCATGCATCTGCTGACCCTGGTCACTGGTTCTACAATGTGAGGGCTACTCTCTCTGCCATTCCTTTAATTTTGTCCTCTTGTTTGTTGGGTTGTAAGTGCAAGAAGACTGCTGCAGTTGGAGACATCAAATCTGCATCCAGGGTGGGAAGAGAGCAGGGTGAAAACACCAGCAATGCCTTGCCTTTTCATCAGGAAAGCAAAAGGTTTCCAAGAACGCCTGGCACAGTTTTCTGCTTTTCCTTGTTGGCTACAACCTGTCATGTGGCCATCCTCGGTTGCTAGGAAGGCTGTAAAGGTGACCACAGGATCACATTTTTCAGCCTTTACAGTAGAAGGTAGGCAATGGCACCTAGCACAGCAGACAAGGAGAGTGGAGTCTTGCTGCCCACAAGGCTGAGGTACTGGAGGACAAGAAACATGATTAATTATCTCTGGCTATCTCAAGAGTCAAACAGATGAAGAACTTGGGAAAAAGAAAAAAAAA